TCAATCACGGAGTAAAGAGAGAGATGCCCACGTTTGTTTGTTCAAAAATTTTGCTGAGGTGGGGCCCGGCAACACGTGTCGCTAGAAGAATGACTCGTTTTTTGCTAGCGTAGAATCAAAGTGGTACCCAATATTTTGAGAAAATATTAGGTAGTCCCGGTGTTCCACGTAGGCGTGGCCCCCGACCACTTCCGAGGCGCCACGTGGTCCACGTAGCGCGGGTGGGACCGGCGAGCCGGGACTTCTTTTTTTTCATAAAAAATTAATTTCCTTTCTCCTTTAGCCCTGCATCCTCCTCTGCACGCTAGGGACCTATGCCCCTTCGTCAGTCTCTAACCTCTCTCTTCATTAATGTGGGGCCTCCTCCTTCTCTCTGCTTCTCTATCTCCTCAACTCTTCTCAGAGAAACTCACGAAGGAAGCCTCACATTCTCTCTCTGTTTTTTCAAATATTGTTCCCGCCCGAGAGCGATTAGCCCGCCCGCCGGTCCCGACCTCCACCGTGGCCTCCGCCTCCGCCCGCCGGTCAAGATCACCGCCGTCGCAGCTGCGTCCCGAGCTCTGACCGCCCTCGCCTCCGACCTCCGCCCGCCCAAGAGCAAGCCGGTCCCGACCTCCTTGGTCGCCTCCGCCCGCCGAAGAGCAGCTGGCTCTCGAGCTCCGACCTCCGCCGTCGCCTCCACCCGCCCAAGAGCAACCCGAGCATTTCGCAATGCAGCTTTTGTCGTCGCGAGATTCGCAACGCATCAGTTCTTCGCTAAAGCTCCTCCGCCATGCGCCGCCGTCACCAACATCTCCTGCTGCTTCCGCTTCTTCTTTCGTGCCCAGATGCTGCTTCGCTGTGTCGACTCTACAAACGCGATCAAGCTTCCAAAAAGACGCAGCAGCTAGCAATCCCAATATTTTTCTTGAGCCTCCTCTCTCAACTTCGAGTCGTTCAACGTCTGTGTCTCTCTAGCCACCACCAAAAGCCAAGCTATCTTGCCACCTTCAGCTTTGCTTTCGCCACCCCCTCTCCTCCACCAGCGGACTTTCCCACTCTTTCCCTCCCTCCTATATACATCAACACCCGCCCTCACTTTCCCTCTCTCTCTCTCCAAGCAAGCAACACAGTCGCACACCGCCCATCATCATCCCTTGACCCTTTGACTCTCTCTCTCTAGAACCCAGCAATGGCCTCGGCCTCGGCCCCGGCCTCCCACGCCACCGCCGCGAATACCCTCTTCGAGAGAGCCTTCATCTCCTCCAGGCCCCTCCAAAGTTCCCAGCTTTCCGCCGCCGCCGCGATCCTGATGGCCAAGAAGTCCCTGGGGGCCCTCTGGGTCAAATGCTCGGCCTCGGCGGCGGCGGCGAGGGAGTGCAAGGTGAAGTCGGTGAGGGCGAGGCAGATCGTCAACAGCAGGGGGAACCTGACGGTGGAGGTTGACCTGGTCACCGACGATCTGTACCGATCCGCGGTGGCCAGGGGGCGTCCACTGGGATTTACGAGGCGCTGGAGCTGAGGGATGGGGACGAGCGTGTACGGAGTTGTCCTCAATGCGGTCAGGAACATTAACGAGGTTCTTGGTCCGAAACTCGTTGGAGTTGATGTCAGGTAAACTGCTGGCGATCATCGATCAATGTCTGTGCTGTTTCTTTTCTGATGTCAATAGTTTATGAAGTTATACGAAGTGAATGAAGTTGATTGGAGGAGTGTTTGGTTTCTGGGTATTTAGATGTGGAGTTGGTCGCTTCTTGATGAGAGGGGTTTGTGAATGTTTGAAATTCAACACCTGCTAGAAGGAGCATTCAATACTCCATGACAAAATAGTGAGCTTACCACCCACTATAAAAAAAAATGGTAGTACCTAAAGCTATAAGAGATGAAGGCCATTAGCGGTTACTATTTGCCATCAGAGTCTTTGAAGAAGAAAAGTGACGGTCGTCAACTTTTGTTCAAGATTTTCATCCGCACATGTTCCTCATGTGCCTATAAATAAGGCATTCGGTGAAACATTCGAGTTAAGAGTGTGTTTGTATGGGCCTGTTTGCTCTTAAGAGTTTTGTGTGTAGTGTGAGAAAATAAGTTTTGCAACAGCGAGCTGTGGTCTCTGGCTATTCATATATAGTGTGTGTACTAGTTGTATGAGACAATATTTTATTAGAGCATTACACTTGTACCGTATTTCGGTGTCTTGAGCTACCTGATACAATTTTCTTGTGTCACCACATTTCTGTACTCAGCAAGTGTTATCAGAGCCACACGTCCGCATTTAGCAAGTGGTATTAGAGCGACGGTCCCATACTCAAAAAATGAATTTTAATGAGCATGAAAGGATTGACTTTTAAAGAAGCAATATTTGTTTGCTAGTGTGCTTTATAAAATGAGGGGAGAAAGATATAGAGGTTAGTGGTAGCTGGATACTTGGAAATTTAGAATTTGCAAGTTCAGATGGTTCAAGTTTATAGATTAAATTTTTTGCTTGAACAGTCTATTGGGAGTCTTTTTTTTCATATAAGATTTCGGAATACATCCAACTAAATATTCACAGTCATGCAAACATTACTGTGCCCGTTCAGTGGCAATGCACTACTTCTGTTAGATTAGTCTTCATGTTGTGTTTATGGTCATTTTCCTTTTGAAGCAATCCTCCTTTTAATCCATGCTCATGTTCATGGCATGTGATGTTCCACAGGAATCATGCTGATGTAGATGCTATTATGCTAGAAATTGACAGTACTCTAAACAAGTCGACTATGGGATTGAGAAGGCTGCGTACACAGGGAAGGTACATGCAGCTACTGGTCTAGGAGTCCCTTATTATCCTAATCTTTAGGGATCCTTCATTGTAGAAACTTGGTTAATGGTATTCATGGAAACAAAATAATGGTGCAGATCAAAATAGGGATGGATGTTGCGGCTTCTGAGTTCTTCTTGAAGGATGGGAGATATGACCTAAATTTCAAGAAACAACCAAATGATGGGGCTCATGTGCTCTCAGCGTAGAGCCTTTGTGATCTCTACAAGGATTTTGTCAAAGATTTCCCTATTGTTTCCATTGAAGATCCATTTGACCAAGATGACTGGAGCTCATGGGCGTCTCTTCAGTCTTCAGTTGATATTCAACCTGTGGGAGATGACTTGTTGGTTACTAATCCAAAGAGAATAGCTGAAGCCATTGGCAAGAAGGCTTGCAATGCTTTTCTTTTGAAGGTAGCCTCTAGTTCCAAATCATCCAACCGATTTTTTCCCCATGCTTTGAGTTATGACTGAGCTTTGTCAATTTCTGCCTGACCCTCTTCTTCCTATGGCCCATGCCTCATTGATTCTTTACTTTCAAATTATATCTGTTTTGCAATGTGTTTGGTAGCCTCCCTGCTAGAAATTTAATGAACGAATCAAATACCCTTGAGATTCTAGATTTGCATTTCCTTTATTCGACTTGTAAACCATCATGCATTGTGGAGTATTGGAAACAGCCATATAGGACCTGATAAGGGGAAAAAGGATATAGAACTATATGAGCTTAGAATATAAATAACTAATTTTGGTTCCAAACTTTTTCCAAGAAGGGTACATCCTAAATTTTATGATGATATGGTATTCATTTAATTACTTAGATATTTCTTGAGAGCAAAATAGCAGTTTGTTCATTGAAGAGAATATGCAATCTATTCCTATGACTGGTATAGACTATACCTATAGCCTTGTAAGAAGTGATATGGGGATCCTAGTGTTGATTGGTCACTTGGTCCTCCCTTTGTAACTCTGGTTACCACTTCACCTTTCATTACCAATTTGAAATAGCTGATGTGATCTTATGGGTAAATTCATTACCCTAATGATGTTTTTTTTTTTGTCATTTGGATAACCTTGTTGCAGGTAAACCAAATCGGCACAGTGACTGAATCCGTTCAAGTTGCGCTTGACTCGAAAGCTGTAGGTTGGGGTGTAATGGTCAGCCACCGCTGTGGTGAAACCAAGGACAACTTTATCGCTGATCTATCCGTGGGTTTGGTTAGCGGGCGGGTTCGATTTAACATCCACGACTTGCCATGAATCTTTTCCGATACCACGGAACTAACACAAGATGTTTTATGTTTGGTTTTCAGATCAAGACAGCAGCTCCTTGCGGAAGTGAGCGGTTGGCAAAGCATAACCAGGTAACTGAGTGTTACTCTTAATTTTATAGACATTTTTGGTCTCTCTCTCTCTCTCTCTCTCTCTCTCTCTCTCTCTCTCTCTCTCTCTCTCTCTCCTTCTCCTTGATATATCTATTGCCTTAGTCAAAGTAGATTCAGATTTATTAACGATAAGTACTTTGGGTTGCCTTAAACTTATACTAGAACTTCTTAGGATGTATTCGAAGTGTTATAGGTGCTTCTGCACTGCACATCCGCAGCAGCCTGTCTATTATGTTTATTTTCATCTGAGCCGTGTTTGAAAATGCTCATGGACAACTGTGGTTGCTGATCATTGCAGCTCTTACGCATTGAAGAGGAAGTTGGAAACATTCGTTACGCAGGCGAAGCTTTCAGATCACCCTAGAGATGACCTTGTATTGTACCTTTCATACACGTAATAACGTGGCATGGTACCAAAATTTGCAGTCATCAGAAGTTGTCGAGCTCCAGAGTAAGTCAAGTTGCAGCTACATTTAGAGAAGTTTTGGCGGATTCAATCAGCATGCTTGTGATCAAGAGCTCATAGTGGAGACGAATCACCTTGAGTTTCTGTTGGAATAATCTTTGTCCTCGAACAAACCTCGTGGTTTTGTATTTGGTTTTATATGAAATTGGAGTGACCATCAGATGGTTCCAAACATGAAATACTAACTGTTGCGACATTTGAATGCCCTTTTCTTGAGCCAAGGCGTTATTCTAATTGCTTGTTTGCATGAACCTTTCCGGGGGTTCTTTATAGGAGCGCGATAATTAACATCTGAACACACTCAACTACCTCATATGCACAAAGCTGTCAGAAATACAGCTAGAGCTTTATGAGGAACATAACCTATGGCATTGTACAAGAAAAAACTGACTAAATAAATTAGAGAATGTTCACACCTTCCTGCAGAGGATCAGTTGGAGCATGGTGATGCAATTGCTCCAGATCAAAGGCAACCTCAAAATTTTGAACCCAGTCCATGAACCATAGTGTTCAGTGAATTCGGCGAGACAAATCTAACTTTGAGGATGCAAAAGTTAGTCATCCAGCCAGATTATCAACCTGCTCATGAGCTGTATAATTATCTCATACAGTACGAGGTACACAACATTGCGCATACTCGCCATGGCTCATGATTGGTTGACGCACAAGGGCACGAGCCGAAGATTAGCGACTTGGACCAACATTCTGCTCTGAACACTCCCTACCCTCGCACACCCACTAGATGATAGGATGAAACTTTTTCCGCATCTGAAACCTGCTCAGAGGTGCCTCCTTCGCAAGTATTTTTAAAGAAAGCTAAACCTGCTTAGAGGTGCCTGCTTAGATAGGACATTATCGACAGCTGGCTTAGCCAATCTCACTACCAAAGAAAGAGTCAAGTAGTGAGTATTTCAGCCATCTGCTCTAAGAACCGACTGCAAGAAGCATATTACATATGCGGCTTATATTGACCAGCCAATAGAATTTCCCAGTAACTACAGTCTCGGCATTAGCTATTCTCTATTCAACTCCAAAATTATCGGCATCGGCTCAACAGAACGACATGGAGTCGGACAAATGCTATAAATAACTGGCCTAGAGAAAATGCGTGTGAAAAAGAAGAAAAAAAATCTAAGCTAAGACAATGCTTCAAAGGGTCAACTTCACGCAACTCGCATCACAGTCTCAATTTGGTCCTCCACTGACCATCTTAGGTTGTGGATTATCTTGCCCTCGATCCCGCTACCCCGATGTAAAGTACAACCAGCCATCCCAAAAGCTTGCGATTGAGGTTTTGATGCAGTAAGGAAGCTTCCCGATCACCGTCCATTTCTGCCACAAAGCATCACAGTCCACAAATGTATCACCATACAAGTGCAAAAGTAATAGAACATTAAGTACTGCATTAGAATATACAAAGCCAAGGATCTTTGATATGCAGCACTATCACCTATGGAACATATAGACTAACCGCGAGCAAATCGGAGAGGGATGGAACTTGGGGCACTCGATAGTTCCTTGCACAGGACCGACTTAGCACAACCAAGTATTCCTAAGATACGACAAATCAAAACATAATGACCACATTTGAAGTAACAAATTATCCACAAGAAGAATTATAAGATGAGAAGAGAATACCACAAGCAGGTACAATGATAAGCAATGTTGTTTAAATCAGGTGATAATCAAGCCAAGACACTTCCAAAAAGATATCATAAGACAATAGCATTCTTGTAAATGATCTAGAGATAAAAACAGATACTGCTAGACATAAGCTGTTTAGGCCCTCAAAATCCGATTCCCAAGAACAATCCATGTGTGTGATAAAACAGCTCACGAACAACAATTGCAGAAGATAATCGCAATATTCACTTTTCATATTCATAGATGGAGACTCTAGTCATCAAATTATAGCAGCAAACCTGTGCAAGCTGTCAATACTGATCAATATAATCACCAAGGAGAAGTCATCCCAGACAAGTACACAATTAGGGATCAGGTATGCTTGTCATCCACATCATTTATTTCGACCAACTACACATTGATGATTTGCTCGCCCTTCTGTGCCCCATAATGGAGATTTCGACACTAATACATATCAATATACACTTAATGATGAGGAAGGACAGTAACATCCACACTTCCTGTTAATAATTAAACTTAATGACAGAGACCTTGAGCCCTGAGGCCCTGGCATACCCTGTAATATACTCTACAGAGAGCTGATGAAATATGCCTTTTGACCATGGAAATCTCCTCTTACCAACGACAAAACAAAATCACCTCATAGCATCCAAGCCGCCTATGCATGTAAGGCACACAAGCACATCTGACTAAGATACGGAACCAAACAAGAACGAGCCTCTGTAGCTAAGAAAGAACAAAGCAGCTAGAAACAAAAAACCTAACCACAATCCCAATCGTCCTAACTCAACGTCCACGAGACCGCGGCGCCAAAACGAAACTAATCTGCTCTATCAGATCGCTAAGGCCTCGGTCTTTTCCAAGAAAAAGAAAAGCTAGGACCTATAATCCAAAACTGAAGACAGATGCATCGAAAAACCTCAAAAGAGCTCGAAATACCATCGAACCGGAAGCTACTGCGACGCTGCGTAATCAGAAAGATATCAAAAGCCAAGAAAGCTTACCTCCTCCGATTCCCTAGTGAAGCACCACCTCCATTCCCGAGGTCCGATGCAGCAGCGAAAGAGGACCTAGATCAGCACCACCATGGAAGAAACGGATACAGCAATCCACAATCTGAAGCTCGGAGCACGAATTCCAGAGGTGAAACGAGCTGCTTCATCGTGCATTCGAGAAGGAACTTCAGCGAGGGAGAGAGTGAGTTTGACTGGTGGTGGTGGTGGAGATTGCGAACGAGCTTGGGACCAGCTACTCTTGGGCGGGCAGAGGCGACGGTGATCAGAGCTCGAGACGCAGCTGCGACGGCAGAGGTCGGGACCGGCGGGCGGGGGCGGAGGCGACGGCGGAGGTCGGAGCTCGAGACCCAGCTGCTCTTCGGCGGGTGGAGGCGACGACGGAGGTCGGGACTGGCTTGCTCTTGGGCGGGCGGAGGTCGGAGGCGATGGCGGTCAGAGCTCGGGACGCAGCTGCGACGGCGGAGGTCGGGACCGGCAGGCGGGGGCGGAGGCGACGGCGGAGGTCGGAGCTCGAGACCCAGCTGCTCTTCGGCGGGCGGAGGCGACGACGGAGGTCGGAGCTCGAGAGCCAGTTGCTCTTCGGCGGGCGAAGGCGACGAAGAAGGTCGGGACCGACTTGCTCTTGGGCGGTCAGAGCTCGGGACGCAGCTGCGACGGCGGTGATCGTGACCGGCGGGCGGAGGCGGAGGCCACGGTGGAGGTCGGGACCGGCGGGCGGGCAAATCACTCTCGGGCGGGAACGATATTTGAAAAAACGGAGAGAGAATGTGAGGCTTCCTTCGTGAGTTTCTCTGAGAAGAGCTGAGGAGAAAGAGAAGGAGGAGGCCCCACATTAATGAAGAGAGAGGGGAGAGACTGACGAAGGGGCGTAGGTCTTTAGCGTGCAGAGGAGGATGCAGGGCTAAAGGAGAAAGGAAATTAATTTTTTGTAAAAAAAAAGGGGTCCCGGCCCGCCGGTCCCACCCTAGGCCTGTTAAACGGGTGAGTCGGGTCGAGTTTGGGTCGAGTCATAAATGGTCCGACCCAAATTGACCCATTAACCCGTTTATGACCCATTTATTCATAGTGTAAATATCTCAACCCATACACGACCCGACCCATACCCAACCCATACCCGACCCGACCCATATTGCTAAAACACTTTTATATTTAACCTAATCTAGGAATACTTGTTTCTTATGATTTTTTTTTTACAAATTATACTGCTAAAATATTTTATGCAATACAAAGCTAGTGAAAAAAATTTATAAATTTGAGGTTCTGTTTGTTTTACGAAAAATGCGACATTTCTAGAAAATATTTTTCATAAATTCATTATCCAAGAAAATAAAAAAAAAATATTTTTTTATTTTTTAAATCGAATTTTTAATTATTTTTTATTTTTATTTTTATTTTTTTCTTTTTCCTTTATTTTTGGCCGATCGCCGGCCGCCGTGGCCGGCGACCAACCACAGGCGAGGACGAGCTCGCCGGAGGCCGGCGAAGCTCGTTCTTGCCGATTTGGCGAGGACGAGCTCGTCGGAGGCCGTCGAAGCTCGTTCTCGCCGATCTGGCGAGGCTGAGGCCTCACCGGCCTCAGGCGAGGCTCCAGCCTCTCCGATCTGGCAAGACTCGAGCTCCCTCGCCGGCCTCGGGCGAGCTCTACCTCGCCGGATCTGGCGAGGTGGAGCCTCGGCCGAGGCTGGTGAGGCTCGAGCTTCGCCGGCCTCGGGCGAGCTCTACCTCGCCGGATCGAGCTAGCCAGATCGGCGAGGCTGGAGCCTCGATCGGCGAGGCTGGAGCCTCGCCGGGATCGGGCGAGCCTCGAGGTCGCCGAAATCGGGCGAGCTTGAGGCTCACCAGATCGGCGAGGCTCGAGCTCGCCGGCCTCCAGCGAGGTCGTCCCGTCCCGGTGACCGGTCGCCGTGGCCGACCACCGACCGGAATAAAAAAAAAGAAAAAGAAAGAAGAGAAAAGAAAAAGAGAAAAAATAAAAATAATTAAATTTTGATTTTTTTAAAACATCTTTATAAAAGAGGGAGAGAGTGTGTGGATGGGTCTAGTGGGTGGGTTGGACATGGGTTCCAAACTCAACCCATTTAGACCCATTTATCTTTAAGCTTTAAAATTTAAAACCCATTTAAGGTTGATTCTTTAAAATTAAGTGATCCATATATGACCCATTTATTTTTAAATAGGTCATATATGGGTTTAAGACCCATTTTGACACCTCTATCCCACCCGCGCCACATGGACCACGTGGCGTCTCGTGAATGGTCGGGGACCACGCCTACGTGGAGCGCCGGGACCACCTAATATTTTCTCTTTTTTTTTTTCTCCTGGATTAGAGTTGTTAGAAGTTAGTGGACTTGGTCAATTGAAACGTGGCAAGACTAAGGGTGCGCATGGAATGCATTCCGGAACAGAATGGCGTTTGTTAAAAAATTTTCGGAATGCATTCTGGAGCGATTTTTGCATTCTGGAATAAAAATGCGTTTGTTAAAAATACTTGATTCCAGAATGCATTTTTGATTCCAGAATGAGTTTTTGGCAAGAAAAAGAGAAGCTACTTTTTGTAGCTTCTTGATTCCGGAATGCATTCTCCCTATTTTCTCACAATTTTTTTTTTCAGAAAATGCATAAAAATTGAAAAATTCTAGAAAAATTCATAAAAATTTTCAGAAAATAAAAAAAAGTCAGATTTCGGGAAAATATAAAATTTGGTGAATTTTTTTTTTAAAAAAAAAATCAAAAATTTCAAAACTTCACAGAATAGCTTAAAACACATGTGGCCACCCATTTTGAGCGAAATTTAAATTTTTTGAGGTGCCCAATAAAAAATCAAAAATTTTAAAACTTCACAAAATGGCTTAAAATACCTGTTGCCACCTACTTTGAGTGAAATTTAAATTTTTTTGCGGTGCCCAAAAAAAAGAAAAATAATAAAAAAATTTAAAATTTCAAAACTTCATAAAATGGCTTAAAATACCTGTGGCCGCCCACTTTGAGTGAAATTTAAATTTTGTGAGGTGCCCAAAAAATAAAAATAAATAAAAAATTTCAAAACTTCACAGAATGGCTTAGAATACCTTAGCCACCCACTTTGAGTAAAACTTAAATTTTTTTAGGTGCCCAAAAAAATAAAAAAAATTCAAAACTTCACAAAATGGCTTAGAATACCTGTGACCACCCACTTTGAGTAAAATTTTAATTTTTTTAGGTGAAAAAAAATCAACAAATCAAAACAGATTTCTGTTCCAGAAATCAATTTCTGGAGCAGAATTAGTCATGTTTTACCAAACAGATTTCTCTTTCGGAAATCAATTTCTGGCAAGAATTCTAGAAATCAATTTCTGGCAAGAATTTGATTTCTAGAGCAGAATGGTTACCATTCGCACCCTAAGCTTTCATTTTTCTTTTTTATTTCCACAATCTATTCACCGAAATATTCATTTATATGTATAAATATATAATAACATACTCTTCCCTAAACATTGCCTCTAATGATGACACGTAATATTCTAAATAGCCAAGAAACCCTCGTTCTTATTGCAAAGATTGGCTTTCTCGCGTTTTCCACAAAAAAAACGAGCGACACCTAAGTGCTACTATCTAAACTTATAGTTGAATAATTGCCCTTTTCAACTCAAGCATGCATTCAACCACTGAGGGTTTACCCCAGTGGCCACCCTTCTCACTTGAGAAGGGGGAGGTGGGGAGTTCGAATCCCCACCTTCGCAGGGGGGTAGGGGTGGGGCCGCGTAGTTTTAAGATGTGGGTTTCGACGCCCACGCCCTGCAAGAGGCGGGGCGCAAGTCTGAATGTGTATCGTGAGTGAGAGACAGTAATTATTTTCACGGTGAAAAATCTTTCTGATAAGTTTAATATCAAGTCAATAACGACCGGAATCAATGTGGTTTTTTTTCTGATTAATAGTAATTATTTTTTGGATTAGTACCACAAAAAACTCCAAACTAGTATACATATGACAATTTTATCCCGAACTAATTTTTTTACCACCAAAAACCCCAAATTAGTACACTTGTGATAATTTTACCCCGAACTAATTTTTTGACCACTAAAAATCCCAAATTGGTACACCTGTGACAATTTTATCCCGAACTAATTTTTTTACCATAAAAAAACTCCAAGCTGGTACACCTGTGATAATTTTCCTCCAAACTAATTTTTTTACCACTAAAAACCCTAAACTGGTAGACCCATCAACTATCATGTCTCATCAAACTTAGCAATTTGATAGTAAAATTTAACGGAAACTAACGGAGAATAAATTTGTCACAGGTGTATCAGTTTGGGATTTTTGGTGGTCAAAAATTAGTTCAGGGTAAAATTATCATAGGTGTATCAGTTTGGGATTTTTAGTGCTCAAAAAATTAGTTCGGGGTAAAATTATCACGGGTGTACTAGTTTGGGGTTTTTCGTGGTATTAACCCTTATTTTTTCATGTAAGAGTCCAAACAGAGCGCACATCATTGGTCTTCTAAAGTTCGATATGCTTACTTTCTCCTTCTCTCTAAGATTGAAAACACCAAATTAGACATGAAAAACAATTGGTCAATTCTATTTTGATGCAATCGACGAAGAAGCGATTAACATAATCAATTTTCGTATTTCTATATGGTCTCAATGAGATGACAAGAAATCGCTGTAGACATTGTTGCCCATTGGTGTTATACTTTGGAACTAGAAAAAAGTTATTTACTTCACACCTAGCTTCTTTGGAAATAGGAGAGGTCAGAGTTCCTCCTATGAAAAGATTTCTTTAAAAACCATGGGTCATCATACTCTTGTTTCAAGACCAACAAAAAGCTACTATTAGACAAGTATTAGTAACTATGAAGTTCATGATTAATGAAAACAACATATCGTATAAACATTGTAATCGCACACATCGCGCAGGCTTCTGTCTAATATTATTGCCAAAGAGGTTTTTCTGTACAATTGATATATTTAGTATTGATGTGAGAAGTCTTTTCTTTTCGAAATAAAATTCAAGGTTTTGCTAAGAAAAGATATAGTATAAAGAAATCTATGTGAGACGTTAACCTAAATACGAATGTCTAATCATAGTATAATCGGCTATGTTTATGTATGGAGTTTATACAGAGTGATATATTTTTAAGTATCTAAGTTTATCATGATGCATATATGTATACACACACACACACATATATACATAGTAAAACTAACTCAACTACGAACGGGCAAATAGCACACATCTTTATGCTTATACAAGTTAAATGTGAGAGCGAAAAGAACTTTTAGTTAATTAAGTGAAACTTTATAAAAAAAAATTTCATAAAAATCCATGTAAAGCATGCTTACAAGTACTAGCATCATAGTGAACTTGACCTTTGTTTTTTGGTTGCTTTGGTTTTCCCCCTTCTTACATCCCATTGTGTAACAAAATTGAAGGGAACTTTTAGGAAATAAATCCGCTAATTTTTTGAAACATTAAACATAACAAAAATACCCGATTCATTATTATTATTACTATTATTATTAGAAGCAAAATATACTTGAAATTGATTATAAAAAAGAAAAAAGAAAGCCATGCCAAACATGGGTAAGAGCAATGGTTACCTAACAATTCATATAGGATTCAAGTAATCACTAAGTAGAT